TACAGAAGTCACTGTGATCTAATTGTGTTGTCTTGCCGTGCCAACGTACGTGTTAACAAGGCTTACGATGGACGTTGTTAGTGTGAAGGAGAGGAAAATAAGAGGAGGAGAGAGAGAGAGAGAGGAAGAGGAGAAGAAGAAAGAGGGTGAATTATTGTGAAATAGGAAGTTTGGGTATAGTGATATATCTGGGGGATATGAGTAATGTTTATTTTCCTTTTATGAATGATATATATATACAATTTGGTTGATTGAGCTTGAGCATGAGCATTTTACATGTGCAAACATATAATATGCAAGTAATTTTCTAAACATAATATGCTAGTAATTTTCTAATGACTGAAAGACAGATGTATTCTGCATTCTTGTGAAAATGAAATCATATGAAATGCATTTTGGAATAAAATCTAATACATATGTTTGTGTATCTTACATATAAAATATAACTTAAAAAGAGAAGCAATTTTGGATGTTTTTACCCAGCGCTAATCGGCTGGGAAAATGTCAACAATAAATTATAGAAAATGAGCAAATCCAGTTGTATTATTTTGAAAGTTATTTTACCAACACATTGTGTATGATTTTGTTATATAGCCCACTGTTGATGGGATGAAAAGAATTCATACCATGCCCACTGTCTTTTTGTGTATTGATTATCCTTACACAATGATGGCTCTATTAGTGTTCAGTCACAAAGAAGTCAATTACTAGTCCTACCTAGCTCCCCTGCTTACCCTTTTCCTTTTTATATTCGGAAACATTTATTTTTATATTATATTGCTATTGGTATTGCTAATAACATTATAATAGCAGCATTGATATTAATGGCATAAAAAAAAAAGAAAGAGGAAATTCAAGAAAAGGGGATATCGTGTATTTTTACTAATTAATTCCTTGGTGGCTGAGGACTTAAGGAGCCGTCACTGTGAAAACAAATTTCACAAAAGAAAATGACAGTAGACAGTGAGATTGCTTGGCACCTTTGAGTTAACATGGCCTTATTTGAGTCCCACATTTTCATGTGGCACTCTTGAATAACAAGAAGTTTTCCAATCCTTGTCTCTTTCTTTTCAAAAGTTATATTATAACATGGATACTTCTTACCCCTCCAATATTATGGATCTCCCTTAAAATATGAGAGTTTTCTATATCTAACAAAATAAAATAGACTTAGAGAAGGTTTCATAGTTAATAACAGTAATTTTTGTTGCAACTTCCTGGAATAAAGATCCATTTTACAATGATTCCCCTGGCTGCGATGCAGTCTTTCCTCTGTCAATTTCCTCTCCCTGTCAATCTGTCCTGTGGTGATCCTGCTGTTTTTGAGTATTTCATGTTCTAGGATGAAGGTTTAGTCTCAATTATTCAGCCGTTCATTTTATGATTTTCTTCCCATATTCCCTTTTCTTGTGCTAATCAAAATCTGCTGAGGTCTGCTGTTTTAGCAACATGAATAAGCATACCTTGTGAAAACAGTATAAGCTAAGTATGTACAATATAAAGCTCTTGGAATAATAAAGCACATGTAAATGCATTCATTAAAAGGAAGTTTGGTAAAGGAAGTGTGTAGAGGTGTCTGTTGTTGTCATAGTTATGTATCATGTTCATGCCTCTGTTGAAAAAAAAGTATGTTTCATTAATATGGGACAGAGCTTGCCTGTTGGATTTTACCCTAAATATAAGAAGAAGAAGAAAAAGCTTTGCATAGTTCTTCATGTACAAATATGTACATAACCCAGAAACAAGAAGATATACACCTACATCCATGGTCTGGGCAAATGGCCTACCTTTTAAAATACTGTAAAACATAAACTCTAAAGACTGTAATTCCCCGGCCCTCCTTTGCCCAGTTATACACACCAGAGAATATATATCATATGAAGGGTGGTGTTAAATAGTTTCCAAACAGTAGAGCATCAAAGCTGAAAATGTTATCTCACAAGCATGGAAAAAAAGTATATAAAACACATGTAACAATATAAAACACACATTTATCATGATTCACAAGGCAATATTTACAAGTTTCATAACAAAAATGAACAAAAATTTTGCTCAGTCATGCCAGGCAATGAGTACAAGCTAGAAATGGGGCTGGGAAGTCCTTGGGGAAAGCAAAAGGGGAGGTGGCTGTAGTGGTCTCTGAGCCTTAGAGTGGGGGGTAGCAGAAAGGGTGGGGCAAAAAGCCACCTAGACACATGGAAGAATGCCCAGGTGGGTAGAAGGAAGCATAGGGATGTGGGGGTACAGCTCTTCATGGCAGTAAGGCTAGAGGAAATATGCCACATGATACTACATATGCTAGTTTCCACTCCCTACTTCCCTGTCCTCCCTCCTTCTCTCACTCATCTGTCTGACTGTATGTCTCACATTATATATATATATATATATATATATATATATATATATATATATATATATATATATATATATATATATATATATATATATATATATATATATATACACATACATATACATATAAGAAATAGCACCTATGTTTGATTATAAACATTATGACACTGCTTTGAAACCTCTGTTGGCTGAACAGAACATGCCACAAACAATGTTCCTATATATACACCAATAAACTGAAAATGTTACTGGAAAGAAAAAAAGAAAGAAAAGAAAAAAATAAATATAACCAAGCTATGAGAAGAGTTAATGTTGTGCCATAAGCATATGCCATATTCTTGGAACAGGTGAAATCCCGCATGCATTTACTCTAATCTTCCTTTCACGTAATTTCCCAATTATTCAGATTCAGAACTTTTTGCCATTTCAGACATTTAATATATATAACACAACAAGAGTAACATATAAGCAATTTATTACATTTTCCCTTTTCATATACACTTCCTTTAACAAACACACTTTTACAGAATACATCTATGTACCAAAAATTTCCCACACAATTCTATGCTGTCTGTAAACCGCTTTCATTGTGCTTATATACAAATACAAATATATAATGCATATGTATACTACTGATTAACATAAAATAGATAAGAAAATAGTGCTGCTATACTGTCCACTCAGTACTTTTTCGTAATCTGACAATGCTTTGAGTTAAGAATGCAATTATACGCTGACTAGCTGTTCAATATAACCTTTACATATATTCCATGGAATAAGCAAATATCAACAAGTTTGCAAGATAATGCAAGAGAATCCCAATGAAAAAACTAAAAGCTTTAAAAAAAAAAAAAAAAAAAAAAGAAAGAAAAAAAAAATCTAGACAAAAAATTATTTATAACTTTACAAGAAAATTGATAGAAAAATAGATTCTCTGATAAAATTCTACCTCTATTACTATCAAGACTAATGCTATTATTTCACAACTGTTCACATAAAAAAAAAATAATAATAATAAAAACAAAAACAAAAACAAAAAATAAAAAACAATGAAATCTATCAGAAATCAACCTCATCATTTCTCAGAATAAATACAACACATTTAACATAATGACAACAAATAAGAACTGGAGGAGAATTATTATAACAATCCACACCAAAGATGGAAACAGCAAGCGTTGACGAAATCTTGCACCAGAACTTGTATCCGGTTGTCGCGGATAATCGGCTCCGAGCTCTCCCCCTTCAGCTGCTTGTTGACGCAACACAAGTCCTAAAAAATGAAAAATAAATGCGTGAATAAAAGTGAGAATGAATTTGTGATGATAAAAAGAAAAAGCAAAAAATGGTAGACTGTATTTTTGAATTTGCGTATTACCAAAGCCATCTATATGTACAATCAATAAATTCTATATAATGAAAAAAAAAAGAAGGAAAGAAAGAAAGGAAAGAAGAAAGAAAGAAATGAGAGAGAGAGAGAGAGAGAGAGAGAGAGAGAGAGAGAGAGAGAGAAATTAAGTCAGTACATCACCCTGAATGTGTGCATCACAAAACTCTAAATGATGAAAAAAATACTAAAAAGGCAAATAACAGAGAAACAACTTCTCAAAGCCAAATCCTAGGACGCAAACTCGACTTACAGCCTTCTGCTTGTAGAGGTCGACCGAGAGCATCATGAAGGCATCTGGACACGAGGGACTCAAGATGACGTTGTGTTGAACGTTGCCGTCACTCGAGGTTAAACTCCTAAGCCAAGTGAAGAGTGAAGCATTATGAAGCTTTATAAAATATGCATAATATAATATAAATACCTATATATCATTACATACTAATATATTTTCACATATTAACCCCTTGGTGCCGGGTGACGCTGATCGGCGTGCAAACAAACCGCTTGAAAGCTGGCGTGCCAGTGATTTGGGCTGATGTCCCCTACTCACGCGCTCAAAGTTGGCGCGCCGCCTTTGTTTGCCAGAGCGTAGAGTTTTTGTTTTGTTTTGTACACCCGGCGTCGTTGGGTTAATAAACTTTGAGAGATTAGACTACAAACAAATAATCTCATTCCTGGCTGGAACACAACAAAATCACTCTTATACTAGAATAAGGTAAGTAAAATTAAAGCTTTACCTGTGTCTTTCCTGGTACTTTGCTTGCAACACCCTCGTCAAGGTCTGATACCACTGGAGTGGTTTTGTGATCAGAGGCAGTAACTGTGGATCGACTGAACTCAAAGGCTCAACTCGCACTAAACTCAACAGTTCGCTGAGCTCCCTAAAACTCAAACCACCAAGAGCCTGAAAAAAAAAAACAATATTAATCTAAAGAAACAATTCTTTGCGGTGATCTATGCAAAATGTGGTACATTTTCTGCTTTTTTCATATATCTCTATATAATAAAGGTGTTTGCTATTTTGACAGTCAAATCTTCACTGATAAATAGGAGGAGATAATGACAGTTTGACACCTAACCTGGCTAGGTAACTTCTGCCTATCTTCATCTCGGACACTTGCTGTCAATCTCTGCCACAAAGAGTCACGTCTGAAAGAAACAATTAATATTCATTAACCAAACATAAATATATACTTACATGCTTAAAAAGTATCCAAATCTAATTTGTATAACATATGAACATATTCATATTCACCCACACACACTTACACTCTCACAAGACTCATAGTAGTAGTAATAATTACAATAACAACAACTACAATAATAAAAATAATAATAATCAAAAAAATATCTACCTGCAATGTATCTTTGCTTGATTGAAGATATGCTGGATACGAGTCCTCGCTTCCTCAGCTTGATTCAGGAGTGTTTTCTGCATTGTCTCTTCGTAAACTGTGTAGTAGCCAAGGTAATTCACACTCTCCAGCCTGGAATGTCAAAGTATTACATGTTAAATCCCACATCAAAATAGAAATTCAAAAATCAATATCAAAATACATAATTAAAATGTAGAAGTAAGTAATCACAAAAATAATAAGATTATTGAAACAAAGTTATTATTTATATATGTCCATTAATAACCCATTACTTCCTGGAATGGTATGTATGTATATGCCATGCCCACTTTGAGTTCAGTAATTCCCACATCAAAATAGAAATTCAAAAATCAATATCAAAATACATAATTAAAATGTAGAAGTAAGTAATCACAAAAATAATAAGATTATTGAAACAAAGTTATTATTTATATATGTCCATTAATAACCCATTACTTCCTGGAATGGTATGTATGTATATGCCATGCCCACTTTGAGTTCAGTTTATTAACTGTGTTTATACATAATTGGACCTACAAGCATTTAGTCACCAAAGAGTCTATCATCATTCCTACCTACCAACTGTTTACCCTTTTTCTTGACTTTTGGAAATATTCTCTTTTATCTGATATTGCTATTAGTATTGTTAATAACACTAATGAGTATAATGTCAATAACAACAATAATAATAATAATATCAGCATCTGAAACAAGCAGTCCAAAACTTCATATGATTAACCCAAACGAACCCCATAACATAATCTTTGAGCCCTACATCAAAACAATGATCATAAAACAACTCAAAGAAATCCAAATCAGTATCAGGATATCCTACAAGCCACAGCTAACACAGACCTACAACCCATCACACGCGCGCCAACGGACACGGAACCCTCACCTGATCCCTATGTACGACTTGACAGGGGGCGGGGGATCACTCGAGGTGGTGGAGGTGTGGGTGGAGGAGGACAGGGCGGGTGGGGGAGGCTGTAACCCTGGGGGAGCTTGGAGGTGCCCCCCCGCCTCCGTGAAGACCTGGCCGGACATCGCGGGGGGAGTGCAGGACCCACTCTCGTTACTGCTCTCTGAAAGGGAAGGGACGTGAGTGATGCTAATCATGAGCCTTGAAGAAGATGAAGAAGAAGAGGAAGAGAGAGGGAGAGAAAAAAAAAAAGGAAAATAAACAATAAACATGTATATGAATAAACCAAGCCTAGCCACTACGCTAATCATGAGCCTTAAAGAAGAAGAAGAGAAAAAAAAAAAAAGGTAAAATAAACCACAAATATGTACACGAATAAACCAAGCCTTGCCACTCTCAGCTATACCTGGTTGAGATGAGGTCGCAGTCTTCCAGTGTCCAAGTGACGGGGCTGTTGACACTGTGCGGAATTTGCCCATTTTCTTCTCTAGGATACGATTTGGATACATCTCTCTGAGGGGAGGGAAGGGAAAAAGTATTCTCAATAATCAAGTTTCATAATAAATATTTACTTTTACCAATAATATAACCAGTCTTTCCATACCAAACCATGTTAAGGAAATCAATAAAACAACCTTTTGGTCATTAGGGAAAGACCCATATACACATGCTTTACAAGACCCAGAAAAAGAAAAAGCAATACAGCAAGTTGCACAATCAAAATTTTCCTCCATCATACCGTCTACTGGTTAAGATGACATAGAAGTTGAGATGCAGGACATTCAGCTGCTGGTCTGAGGGGTGGGCATCGAGCGTCGCATTGTGGGAGACCAGCAGAGTGACATCATAGTCATCAGAAACTCTCTGGTCATTGGCGTCACTGTAGTGAACTCGGCATGTCTTTGTGTGGACTAAGACAAATTCGGTATATTGCTGAAAAGCAGGTTAAATGTTGCTCTGTAATTATTCATAAAGTTTTATAGCTTATCAGATACAGATTATGAGGCCAAATGGTAACTCTATTTGTCATCCATTTCTAAGTATACAAGACACATGCATGAGGATAAGCTTATTAAAAGTATCTGGAAGAAACAAAATTTTCTTTTACTGTGTTGGTCTGATAATATGCCATTTCCATGGGAGGACGTTTACCTAAATCTAAATCTTCATATAGGTACTTGTATATACACAAAGATGCCTCACAAACAATTCTCCTTAACACCAAAGATGATTCGCAGACTTCACGAAAATAAACTCATCCCATTATTCAAATCTGTATAAATCTACTTCCTACAGCATACACATAACATCTTTTCTTCACGTTCATAAACTTTTCAGCAATAAACATTTAACGAACATTTGACGTGTTTGAAATTTACCATGTCTGCTGTTGGGTCTAGGATAACAGGCGTCATTCGCAGGACCCTCATCTTGTACTGCTTCTCACGAGCCAAGAGATAGTTATACAGCTGTTCGCCTGGAGAGCCAGTGTCCTCCACGGTCAATTCACCTGAGGATGATTTTATATTACAAATTGGTGCTGGAGAAAGAAAAAATTCTTGTTGTAAAGAGATCAAAGGTTTCATAATTTACTGTCAGAAATATCATACCAATGGTATCTCCTTCTCTGGATCTTAAATCAATTTTAACATAGTTTTATTTGTTCTCAACAACACTAAATAAAACTGTACATCACAACTATTAGCTACATTCATTATGACAAAGCTAAGAGGCAAAACTTATATTTGTGCAAACCTGAATAAATGAGGTTTCTTGCAAAGTTTGGTCCTTTGTTGTAATACTTAATGAAATCGGAGAGGAAGGAAGACAAATGGTATCCCGGCGTGAACAGGAGCTGGCGGTCTGCAACGTACGCACACACGGCTCGCAGGTGAAAGTCATAAGTGAAGGAATGCATGTGCAACAACACCTTCACGTTGTCCACTTCATCCAGGAAGAAATTGATGGCAAACTGCAACACAGGGAAGATGATGATGCATATTAAAGTCCCTGTTTCTATTTCTATTTTCTAGCGCCAGTTGTCTCTTTATCTCTCTGAAATAATCTAAACCTTTACTGCTGAAGAGGATATATAAATAAAAGTCAATATCATAACAGGCAAGATTATAAATTATCTTTAGTCTCAAGCAGCAAGCTTACTGTTAATTCTGGCACTTTTTTTTTTTTTTTTTTTTAATTTCTAAAGATCTGAGACTTCTGGGCAAAAAGGCTTGAGCTGTTCGAAGAGAGAGAAAAAAATAGGATCTCAAGATATGTAAGAAAAAGTTTTATTACATATATCAAACAGCTTCTTTTCAAGTAAACTTTAGAAGAAAAAAATTTAACATCGGGCACAAAAGAGGTAACTGCCCTTAGCATTTAGTGTAAAAGTTGTTAAACCAAAAAATCAAATATTAGTACCTATTTAACATTAGTATTAATAATTCCCCTGCAAACATAATACAAAATCAATACAATCTATCATTATTATCCAAAGAAAAAAAAAACAGTATTTCTAGAAAACAGCTGAAAAGAAGACAGCAGTTTCTATAGCTCAAGGATAACTCAAGGATTTTTTTTCCCCCATGATAATCAAGAAAGTAAGCTTTATTACCACGGGGTCAGTACAGTGGGAGAAAAAAAAGCAATTAGCCACAAAGCACACAGGTATATGTATATATATATATAAAAAAAGGGAAAATAAAAACAGGTATACCCAATTCACGACCCAAAGAAAATTCTCAGATTTCTATGTACAAAGTTTATCTACAATCAATCCCACATTAGTCAGACCTGAATGTAAAAACAGGTTACAATCTCACAGATAACACACACAAATAAATCATCATCGGATGTTATACCAATGTAGAATAAAAGGCAGATGTATTTGCATAACAAATTTCTCACTCTTTATTTCTCCTGATCATTCTAGAAGCAATTTATAGTAAGTGAAGGGCTAATGCTTTGATAAATGAATAAATAAGTAAATAAATAAATAAATGCAATCAATAAAGAGAGAAATAAAATGCAATAAATATTTATGACAGAAAAATAATTCTAATTGCATTATAAGCTTATTCTACAATATATCAAAGCTATCTCTCCCAATATCAGTAACTATACATTATCCATTGTAAAGAACAAACAAAAAAAACAAAACAAACATCATAGAAGATCAGCTCAAGTGGAATATGAGGAAGTCTATATTACATAATGTCTTTTCTTTTCTTTACAAAATAAAAACTACACTCTTATGATTTTTCTAAGAGGTATAGATATATCAGTTTTATATGAGGAAAAAATTATATTTTCGTAAAATCTCTTATGAAAAAAAAGCACCCATTATGTATAAAATAGATCCATAAATAAATGAAATCAGAAATTAGCCCCATATACATACATACAAAACTGTAGTGTATGTCTTTGCCTGTGTGCATGTGCATCTACACTGGTTAAGGCTCCTCTAAAGAATCCTAGCCACTGCAAACGAATACAAATATTACACAGAAGCATAAAGGTAGTTATATTCATACACAAAGAATCACACACGCACATCCACACACACACGCACACCCACACAACATACATACAAACACAAAATATTGAATAAAAAGACTTTACTCCACAATGGCTAAGACACTACTGATTTGAGACTTACACACGTCTGCTTTATACCCTTTACAATAACTTAAGCTTTAGGGGAAACAAAATTTTAACGGCAATGACAAAAATTCAGCTATACAAAGACACGCACCTACTTAATGCTGCCTAATATAATTCAGTAGACTTGCGAAATCTTGCACTTATTCAGAGCTATGATACTAACATGACAACATCATACAGTACTAGCTTGTCTAAAAGTACCGTAAATGTAGCTGTAAAAAATGCGAACCCTCTGGGATTAATCAATGTTATAAGGTAGGATGTTATTGTTTTAAAATGTGTTATTTGGTAAAAGTTGGTTAGTTATTGTGAGGATTTATCTATAAATATATAGGAAATTCAGTTTAATAGCATTGAGACAAGGATACAGAGCCAGTCTGAAGACCCACAGAATATTTACACAAGTGAGCTGACCCTGGGAGGCAGGTATAGCTTCTGGTTTTAGGTACTCACTCTCTCTCCCCTTTTCATTATTAGTTCTTCATTTATTTAGAAAGGGGATTTGACTGAGTTTGAGAGAAAGATTGGGAGAGAGATTGAGACTGAGATTGAGATACAGAGAGAGAGAGAGAGAGATTAATCAGCAAGGAAGACCAAGAAAGGGGAGGCATTAACATCACAAATGAACCTGTCAAATCATATATAACCACACATCCCAGTACAGTTTTTGTTCTTCAACACAGGGTCACCACCCTCTTAGCCAAACTACTTGAGAAGAAAAGAGACGGTTAGCAGTAAGAGCGGAACGAAGCAGAGACCAGACACAGAGGTAGCAATGTAGCAAAGTGCGATAAGCTGCATGGCTTACTTTGTCCTCTATCAGGTCAGGAGGGCACCCCTCAGGAAAGATAAGTGTTGCAGAGGACCGTGGTGAGGGCTGCAGGGCTGTGGGTGGACCTCTCACCACTATCCCTGATAATCCTTCTTTCTTCATATAATGAAAATAAACCTGTGACCATTACCTCCATCATGACACTCTGGTACCACTCATCCACATAAAACCAACCCCCACTTATGATAGGCTGTTGACCATTTATTTATTTCTACTTGAATATATCCATTTTTTGTTTTGTTTTGTTTTTTGCTTGTGATATATCAATCTATTCTTTGTAATTCATTCATATGAGCATTTCTTAAAGATATATAAATCATACAAATCTTAACGTTCCTAACTAAGGCATTTGGATATTTTTAAAGTGCCTTCAAGGACTTAGCAACATTTCCAGAAACTGACCTACAATGCTTGTGAACTTTGTGGTATATTCCATGAACATTATTACTGCATATAATATGAGATATAAAGAATATCTGCTTGCAAGATGACTATCTAAATATTACAAAAGAGCAGAAACTGAAAGAGAGAGAGAGAGAGAGAGAGAGAGAGAGAGAGATTAATCAGCAAGGAAGACCAAGAAAGGGGAGGCATTAACATCACAAATGAACCTGTCAAATCATATATAACCACACATCCCAGTACAGTTTTTGTTCTTCAACACAGGGTCACCACCCTCTTAGCCAAACTACTTGAGAAGAAAAGAGACGGTTAGCAGTAAGAGCGGAACGAAGCAGAGACCAGACACAGAGGTAGCAATGTAGCAAAGTGCGATAAGCTGCATGGCTTACTTTGTCCTCTATCAGGTCAGGAGGGCACCCCTCAGGAAAGATAAGTGTTGCAGAGGACCGTGGTGAGGGCTGCAGGGCTGTGGGTGGACCTCTCACCACTATCCCTGATAATCCTTCTTTCTTCATATAATGAAAATAAACCTGTGACCATTACCTCCATCATGACACTCTGGTACCACTCATCCACATAAAACCAACCCCCACTTATGATAGGCTGTTGACCATTTATTTATTTCTACTTGAATATATCCATTTTTTGTTTTGTTTTGTTTTTTGCTTGTGATATATCAATCTATTCTTTGTAATTCATTCATATGAGCATTTCTTAAAGATATATAAATCATAGAAATCTTAACGTTCCTAACTAAGGCATTTGGATATTTTTAAAGTGCCCTCAAGGGCTTAGCAACATTTCCAGAAACTGACCTACAATGCTTGTGAACTTTGTGGTATATTCCATGAACATTATTACTGCATATAATATGAGATATAAAGAATATCTGCTTGCAAGATGACTATCTAAATATTACAAAAGAGCAGAAACTGAAATCTGCAATTAATGAATAGACAGGTTTTTTTCAGGTAAAGAAAATATGGTACATATCTAAAAATATTTCAAAAATTATGAAACTAATTCATAATACTTATAAGCTTCATCTAAGTAAGCGTAACATACGACCAGGAGGGAAAAAAGTATTGAATCCTACAATCTACAGACAACAACATAAGCAGAATTTATGATGTTTCTATCATATTCTGGCAATTTTTACTGGTATGTTGCAGTATAATAATGCAGTGTTTCATGGGTAGGTAGAAAGGAGGAAAAAGGAGAGAGCAAGAGAAAGAGACAAAAAAAGAAAGAGAAAGAGAGGGAGGGAGGGAGAGTGGGAGAGAAGGTGAGAGAGAGAGAGAGAGAGAGAGAGAGAGAGAGAGAGAGAGAGAGAGAGAGAGAGAGAGAGAGAGAGAGAGAGAGAGAGAGAGAGAGAAAAAGAGAGAGAAAGATAGAAAGAGAGCAAGAAAGAAAGAGAGAAAGAAAGAAATAGAGAAAGAAAGAGTGAAAGAAAGAGAGAGAGAAACAAAGACACAGAAACAGAGAAAGAGACAGAGAGAGACATTACCTATACTAAATAATCAAGCTTTTCTTTTCATTCATAAATACGAGAGTCCGAAACTTTAGGCGCGGTATCACTGTAATGGTCAACAGGGCAGTACAATTTACACAGCCAGCATGAAGTTACAGGGAGTATTAGTGACTTCTCATGTCTAATTAATCAAGCAACAGAAAATGCTGGAAATGTTTAAGAAAAAAAAGAAAAAGAAAAAAAAAAAGAAAAAAAAAAGAAAAAGAAAAAAAAAAGGGGGGGGGGGAAGCACAAACAAACAAAAGAAAAAAGAAAAAAGAAAAAAATGACATCAAATATATTAAACACAAAAAAATGTGTAGCAAAGGAAATGGCTTGACAAGAACTTGACAGAGCCAGAGTAAATAAATGACAGATATCCAAGCCTAAGTATGTGCAACAACGGGTATCATCGTTGCATCGTTTTTACTACTGTCATCATCGTTTTTACTACTGTCATCATCGTTGCATCGTTTTTACTACTGTCATCATCGTTGCATCGTTTTTACTACTGTCATCATCGTTGCATCGTTTTTACTACTGTCATCATCGTTGCATCGTTTTTACTACTGTCATCATCGTTGCATCGTTTTTACTACTGTCATCATTACTATCATTTTTGCTATGAGATTTTTGTCTTATTATTGTAAAAAATCAATAAACATAATGGTAATATTCATGACAATAATAATGATGGTGATAATGATAATAATGATGATGATGGCGATGTTGATTAAAATTTTGATAAAAATCATAATAATATCAATAACAGTAATAATATCTGTAATAATAATAACAATAATAATAATAATAATAACAATGATAATAATAATAACAAGAACAATAAATGATGATAATAACAACGAAATGAATTTGAATGTAAAATGTTCTATATAACTTTTTTTTCTCCAAGAATTTCATGCTAAACTAATTGGTCAAAAAAATCTTAGCAAATAAAATCATGAATATTCCAAAAACAAATTGATCCTACAAGAAATGATAAACTGCAGGAAAATTATTTGGACAATGAATTAAATTAGTTCTTCCAGTTTGTAAAAAAAAAAAGATAGATAAATAAATAGATAAATAAATAAATAAATAAATTGTCATACGTCAAAGACATATCAATTACAGGGAGAAAATGTCCACAAGTTATAGCTGAAATTTCCAAAATTCTCTCTCTCTTTTTTCTTTTTTTTCTTTTTAAATAAAAATTCACTGGAGAGGAACACGACATTCTCGAAAAAGTCAAGATTTCCTGCAAAGCTAAATACCCGGCTAATTTTGGCGACGATGAAACTAAACAATGGATGGTGCGGTTGCTGTGCCCTAAATATGTAGAAATAAAAAGAGAGAAAAAGAAAAAAGGAAGTATTATTAATGCTACTGCATATCTGTAGACGATGCCAAACTACCTGTAAATATTACAACATGCATCAATAACTACAAATTTAATAAACTACTATTATTGCTACAAACTAAATAAAACAAAACATATCAACATTCTTCTCTAAGCAATTTTTCTTTTGGAAAAATAAAAGAAGAGAAAAAGGTAATACATAAAAAGAGAAAAAAGAAATTGAAAGAAAGAAAGAAAACTTACTTGAGAGGAGAGACTTGTGTATTTCTTTCCTTGCAATCTAGTAGACTCCAGGACGTAAAGCTATAATTGAGATGAGCTTTTTAGTACTATATATTTACTGTTGCTTACTATATCATCAGGAGGTTTATGGTATAATAATGACAATAATAAGAAAAATACAAGTGTAACTATATGTATAAAATATATACATGATGAATATGTATGTACAAGTATGTGTGTGTGTGTGTATGTGTAAATTTCTATCATACAATATTCTCATAATATCAACAGGTTCTTTTACACAAAAGCCAAACTAAATTGTAACCTGATATTTTTTCTATATACCCAAATGGAGCACTTGCTTAAATATGTAGATATATTCCTATGGCATTGCACAAACACAAAACATTTGACACTGGAAAGCACCTATATATACAAAAATAAACAAAATTCCTTGCTTGCCTTGGTTGAGAAATATGGCTCACAAAAAGCAATCTCCAGCAGAAGTGTTCCTCCAAGGACATTTTTCAGCAAATAACTTGGCTCAGCTGTTATCTGTTCACTGAAGCGAACTCCCTTTGGGCGGTAAACCTTGTCCTCTGTTTCCCTTCCACCGCTACGTCTATCAAAACAGGGAAAATTTTTAGACTTGTAACACAAACCATTTAGGATAAATTCACAGTTTGCAAATAATTACATCATTTTACATACCTACAACAAAATATATGTCTCACCCTTTCTGTTGTGGGGCATGTGCAACATTCAGTGTCAAAAACCCTAAACTCTGCAGGTATTGTATATACTCCTTCAGATAGCTAGAGCAGAGAGCACCATGCCATTTGTCATCTCCACCGGTGACATTCCGCCGCCGTTGCCCAGGGCTGGAAACATTTGATTTCAGAGACAAAGACCGTCGCAGGTCAGTTGGCCCAGCACCAGAGGCACTCTTCATGGAGTTGCCCGAGTCATGGCGAGATCTCTGTGGAAAATGTATATGAATATCAGAGAAATTGAAAAAGTTTTCGTGAATCATAGCTAGAAGCTGTAAATATGAGATGAGGTATAATTTGAGAATAATACACTAAATAACATAAGAATTACTAGCCTTAAGGGTGAAAAAAAGAAAAAAGGAAAAAAAAATATATATATAATATATAATACAATATATAAAGCACTTACTGGTTCTGGAGTTTTGCTTCCAAGAGGCAGAACTCTATCACAGGAAGCTTGAGGATCTGCCAGGCTGTGATCTCGAGTGGCTGCCACCTGCCAGCGCCACCTGAAATGTATTAACCCATCAATAATGGTATCAGAAATCTCTGGGTGTCACTGCTATACTGAAATAAATACACACAGTGCTAAATATATGATCTTATACACAATAAAGTGAAGCAGTCATCCCCAATTCCCTCTACAACACACCTTGGCAGGAAAAGCAGAGGTGTATAACAAACATGAGCAATGCGTGCAGTCTGCTTATAGAGAGCTAATATCTTGTCATTGAAGACTGGACTTGAATGTCCTGGTGCCTGAACCATGGTCTGCAACAGTACTTTCCGCTGATTTTCTGAAAGACGCACAAATGAAAGCATAAGAGTCAACCCTGGTGACTGACAATTTTGAAAAGTACATCATAAAAATTTAAATAGATGTCACAGGACAAGGTGAATGAAAGAATCAGGCCTAAACGATATTCAAACCAAAAACTAAGAGTGGTTAAGTTACCTCTCTGCACATTTAGGCGTCTTATCTCTATCAGCTGTGTGCCATGACGAAGTTCCAAGTCTTTGAAGTTTCCAAAGTGTGAGTTCTTCAGTGGACGAGGGGGTCTGCTGTCTCTGTACACATCACCCAAGTTTGGCATTGATATCACCTAGAAAATAACATGAAAATAGTAAAAAATAACATTCTATACTATGTTTAAGAAACTGACCATTTGTTATCTTTGTCATTAATTCTGATGTATCTATTATTCTAATTAAAAAGAAAAGAAAAAGAAAAGATTAATAAAAAATACAAAGTAAAATGGTTAAGGAAACAAAAATATTATGGTTGTATTCAATTTCATTCCTTAACTAGTCATTATTCCTGCACTACAGGTGACAATAAAACATAAATCACCACAGAGACACACATCTCTAGCCATAGACTTCCTTCACAAAACTTACCTGCACCCTCCTGTTGCCCCTTTCAGTTGCTGTAAGCATTTCTCTTCCTGGAGCCTGGTACTTTATCAGAGCCTCCACGTGTCCCTGGGAGCCAACGTATGGGTTATCCTGGAAATAAAATGCAACTGAAATACTTCGCTTCTGCTGTCGAGACTCAAGAACGACCTATCTTAAAATTATTATAATAGAAGGAGGGTACTGTATTTGTGGGTAGATTTGGCCATAAAATCTTGAATAATGGTTAAATGGGTTTCATACCATAAAGATACATTACCTGCTACCCTACCTTCATTACTCTTCATTACTCATTACTTATGTAAATGACATTTGAAACCTATCTCTCTCTCTCTCTCTCTCTCTCTCTCTCTCTCTCTCTCTCTCACACACACACACACACACACACAAAATCCTTTCCCCATCCCTCCATCCTTTGCTTTTCCCTCCGCTCTCCTCCAATCTCTCATCCTTTTCCTCCCCCTCCATTTTATCGCCTTCCTCTTCCAAATCTCTCCCATCTTTTCCCTTTCTTCCTCTCCCAATTATATATGTGCATACCTCTTTCTTCTTATCTTGTGCCTTCCGAATGAAAGGTTGGTTGTGGAATAAACCAATCTTTTGGAGGACAACAGAGGAGAGTAAACGTGTGCGAGCGCTGGACCAATGTGCCAGCTGAGTCATGGCTGTGTGCAAGGATTCACACTGATCCTTTGTCCAGTTGTAGGTGTAGATCACAAGCTGTGTCAAGAAACAAAATAAAATGTTAAGGCACTGTCACACTACCACTTATTCCATTAATTACTGTTTTTCCATATGGACTTTTTGAATGCAAATGTCTGGCTCTATCATACAACCAAAGTAGCAAATGTAGTCTTCATGTAAAGAAACAGGGTACCACCAGTGGGAATCACACATGCATACTCATACAAATCATATCATTTTAAAGAACTATAATTATGTATGGAAGACTACTATTTTGTATACCTAAGTACTCTAGAATATAAATTTATGTTTACAAGAACTTCTATTTCACTTATCAAAAAAGAGAGAGAAAGAAAGAAGGAAATCAACATTCTAATAGTATAGATCCTCTGTAGCAGAAGATCAATATGGTAATTACTCTGTATGAAAAAAGAAGCCACTGCTGATCAAAAATAATAATAATAATAATAATAAAAAAGAGAAGTTGATAGTCATATTCTATACACTTGAACATAGGATAATCAGGAGGAAAAAAGTAGTAAATAGCTTATAAGTAAATGAAATATATATAATTTTTCAAGAGTAATTTCTACTAATACTAAAA